GATAGCTAATTAGGAGGTTAGTGGTTAGTTTTTTGGGGGTAAAGACGGCGCGGTTTGTTGGTCCCGGCCGGGGAGTTTAATTCCCGTAGGGCCTTTCTTTTTATTTTCGCTACGAACTCCTTAACCACCATTTTTGCCGGCCAAAAGTCGCTCGAGCATATGGTGTTAAAAAGTTCGTCAGGAACACTTATCTTGAAAGATTAAATGTTCCTAGCGTATGAAAAGTTGAATTTTTCCACCTTCACTTTATCGGCATTAATTTTGTCTTTAATGTAAGACGAGACATCAAATGATGTGAGATCAGGGGCCAGCCGAGAAACAAATATTTGTCTCATTTGTGGAACCACTATGAGGGGTTTTGCTACTGCAGGCAGTGGGCCTCTTGTGGGGGTATATTTGGTTGGTTAGGTGGAATTACATTTTGAGAACCACCTTCAGACAAATCGGAACTTTTTATAGGCGTTGGACTACTCTCCACTGTGGCTTGATCGGGGTCCGAATCTTTTTTGGCTGCCGATCTTAGCAACATTTGAGGGGTTGCTAAAGTCCGCTGCTCATCCGCAGAGGAGTTCTGCCGGTCGCTTCGGAGTTGCGGGACGATTCCCTCAGGCGTACCACCAGCAGCCTTCTTGCGCTTCGGGGACTCCTCTAATAGCTTAAGGCTATTAAACTGCGAGTCCAGCGCTAAGAGGAGATCATTAGCCCTGGCAAAGCTATCTCTAGCTATGCCAAAACTAGCGATCAGTCCCTTAAATCCGCCTTTAGTTTGGCTCATGAAGGACTTCATTTCCTTCGCAACTTCGCGACAAGCTTCGCAGCAGAACTGCAAACCAAGACTTTTACTTAGATCGTCACTTGTCCGCCCTGTGAATCCAGCGCACTTAATGTGTACCATCCTGTCACAAAGCCAACAAGTGAGTTTACCCTGCTCAGGCTTTATTAGCTGAAGGCAGGTTTTTTTTAAGCAGACATTGTAAGATTCCATGTTTATTATGCTATGGACCACTGTGCCGAGAGGAAATCAAATCGAAATTTGTAGGCGAGCAACTCAAATGTACCGCAAGAGCGTATAAATTGCACGCTTAGAACTTTCGAGTATGTTAGTACAAAAGAGAAAAGCGGGAGAGCGGGAGAGCGGGTCAGTTAATAAGCATGCACTTCTAACAACAACACTACTGTTGACGGACGAAGCACAAAAGCAAGTAGTCAAAAAGACAAAAATCAGATCGTTAAAGTTTATTATTTTATAATAAAACGCACAAAATTCACTCGCGAAGCGAACGGGTTTGAAAGCAAATGTATTTAAATGTATAAATAATCAAATTTAAAACAAAAACCACCGCTGGTTTGTATAGATAAAAATGAAAAATTCGGAGCGCACAAAAAAACACGACCGTTCACTTGAAGAGAGCGATAATCTTCTTCATCTATCTATCTTTTAAGACACTCGGCGAAAGATTTAGAACAAATTAAATTCAGTGAATCGCAATTTGTTAACTCAGATAAACTTACCGCAACAGTTAATCAAATTCTGAAATCAGTAAAAAAAAAAAACCAAAATTGACACGGATCACTTATACGAGACATTGCTTGCTCGAAATAGGACGACTATGATGGAATTGCAGAACCTAATGCTCGCTATAGCTCTTGCAAAAATCAATATAGTTAGCCCAAACATCCTAGACCACGCAGACTTTGAAAATATTTGGCTTGAGGAGCCCACCTATCAGCGACTCACCAGGAGCAGAAGCTCGGCTGTCCAACTAAAGAAGGTGATTATCGAAATCGGGTCGGCCTAGGGCAGCCTCAATCTGTGTCAATCGCTGACACAGCATTTGACCAATAATTAAAAGAGAGCAGTTCAACATAAATTCGGTTGGCGATGGAGATACTGGTGTCCCTTATATCCACAGGCCATCAATAGGAGAGGCTCCTAATTAAATACTTTGGTGGGACACTAGGTGTTCCCTGTCGCGTCCACTTTTTTACGTAAGTCTGTCTGTCCGTCTGCCTGTTTCTATGTAACCTAGTCTTTCAGTTGTAAAGCTATATTTTTGAAGCTTTACCAATGCTCTAAAATTAGGAAGTTCTTTTATTTTTCGGGGATAATTTTTCGCATATGGTGATTTTTTTTACCCTTGCTTAGACCCCATAAAGTATATACAGTAGAATCCTGATATAACGACTCCGCTTATAGTGTCCGTCCGGGTATAGCGACGAAAACTCGATGGCTTGATTGGTTCCCAGACAGACTTATACACTTATATCCTTTTTCTAGTGCGTCTTCCGGGTATAACGACGAAAACTCGTCTTTCCCTTGAAAGTCGCTATAAGCGGATTCTACTGTATATTCTCAGCATCAGCATCACGATCGGAATCCAAATACGTATGTACGTCTGTCCGTCTGTCTGTCTGCCCGTCTGTCCTCCTGTTGGTTTCTGTGTAAACTAGTCTCTCAGTTTTGAAGCTATCTTGCTGAAACTTTCCCAAAAGGTGTGTAGTTATTGCACGCAGTTTATAAGTCGGAACGAGCCGGATCGGCCGACTATATCGGATAGCGAGAGAATGAAATAAAAAATTCTCAGGCAGCTGTTTTTGATCAGATCGATTTGATAACTCTGTCATATAGCTGCCATAGGAGAGATCAAAAAATATATTAGGTTGTTTGGTAATGACATACCGGATTTTTCATTAAAATTTCGCGCTTCGCTTGTGAAGTCAAATATAATTGTATCTGGCAATGCTGTATATCGTTTGAAAGGTATTGGCATCACCTTTAAAATTACATTTAATTTACATGAGCTTCCACGTTAAAAAATTAGAATCGATTGAAATGAAATGACAAACGCAAAAATTCGGGCAATTTTGAAATTTTATTTCGCACTGGGAAAAACTGCTGCGGAATCTCGCAGAGAGATTATTGCTGTCTTAGGAGATAACAAACTTTCGATTCAAACCGCCGAACAGTGGTTTAGGCGATTCCGAAGTGTCAATTTTGATACCGAAACACCGAAGCCTTCCGGACGACCAGTGACCGTTGGTACGGAAAAAATCATGGAAATAGTGGATCGAGATCGTCATGTGACTATTAGAACCATCGCAGAGGAGCTGCAACTAATCACGGAAACCGTCCATAGGCATTTAAAGTCGAAAAATTTAACAAAAAAGCTCGATGTATGGGTTCCTCATGAGTTATCCAAAAAAAAACCTTTTCGACCATGTATCAATCTGCGAATCTTTGTTGCACCGTAATAAACTCGACTCATTTCTGGATCGGTTAGTCACTGGTGATGAAAAATGGATCACATGTGACAACAAAAAGCGTAAAAGATCCTGGTCGAAGCACGGTGAGTCATCTCAAACGGTGGCAAAGCCAGGACTGACGGCTCAGAAGGTGTTGCTGAGTGTATGGTGGGATATCAGAGGAATTATCCATTATGAAGTGAACGACTGGAGCGGTTGAAGATTGGACTATGTTAAAATCGTCGTCAAAAATCAATAAAGAAACCGGTATGTCACTACCAAACAACCTAATAAAATACAGGGTGGGCCATTTAAATTTGACCCATTTGGCAACCCTATAACTTTTGACAGCGTCTACAGTTCGTCAAATGTCATACCACGTTGGAAGCGTCAGTCGAGGACAATTGATACCATGGAACAATACACTCCAAAGGAACGCGCTCAAATTGTTCAGCTCTACATTGAAAATAAATTCTCAAATCATCATGTCAGACGAGGCACATTTCTTGATGAATGGAGGCGTAAATAAGCAAAATTGTCGATTTTATGCCACCGCAAATCCTCAATTAATCGAAGAACAGCCACTTTACGACCAAAAAGTTACAGTTTGGTGCGGTGTTTGCGCGAATATGATCATCGGACCGTATTTTTTTGAAGACAATGATGGAGCCACGATAACCGTCAATGGTGAGCGTTATCGAGCAATGATAACCGAATTTCTGATGCCTATTATTCGTGAAAATGTCATGGATAACTTCTGGTTTCAACAGGACAGGGCAACTTGCCATACAGCTAGAGCAACAATCGATTTATTGCGAACATTGTTCCCTGGGCGGGTGATATCGAAAAGTGGTGATTTTGACTGGCCCGCAACATCACCAGATTTGACGGCATCAGACTTTTATTTGTGGGGTTATTTGAAATACAAGGTATACGCTAATAAACCAAAAACCTTAAGTCAACTAAAAGACAACATTAGACGTGAAATAGCCGCCATATCGTCTGAAGCATTGTCCAAAGTCATGGAAAATTCTGAAAAAAGAATGCATTCGGCTGTCAGAGCTAAAGGTGCCCATTTACGTGATATCATTTTTAATAATAATTTGTAAAAAATCTTCTTGGACCAAAATAAATGATTGTGGAATAAAAAAAAATTGTCCACTTTTTTTGTTTTTGTTTTAAGAATCAAGTGGGTCAACTTTAAATGGCCACCCCTGTATATGTAAATAATGGTTTGTTTGGATTGTTTTAAATCCCACGGGCATGATTTTTGGAACTACAAATTTTTAAAATACACTTAAATCGAGAAAAAAAATTTCATCAAAATTGGAGTATTATATCATATATTGTAGTTGCCATAGGAAAGATCGAAAAATCTATATAGAAATAACGGAAATAAAATCATAACATCGTTGTTTTTCATCAGACAATCATGATTTTTGGAATTCAGAGTTTTCTAACTACTCTTGAATTGCATAATAAATTTCATCCAAATCGGTCATCTGTATGATATAGCTCTCATATGAACAACATGGAAAATTAATAGAAAAATCTTCAAAGCTTCCATGTTGATTAGCCTTTATGTATTTTGTTCGACATATTTAATGACTGCAAGGGTATATAAGCTTCGGCTTGCCGAAGCTAGCTTCCTTTCTTGTTTTTTATTATGCTAAGCAACTCTATTACGATAAAGATTCAGACGATGTACTTTATACACTTTTTGTTGATAAATTTTTTCAATTTCAACTTGATTTCAGAGGAAAGAAGCACAGTTGCTAAAATCATTTTTACCGCAAAAGTTCGAATATGTTTTGTTCATTCCCATGACGTCAGTACAGGTGCGTATTTAAAAACCTTTATTTATCTATTTATTCAATCATAGATCAAAATGAACACATTTATTAATCTAATAGTGATGGTTGCCCCCACATTTACGGGCCCTCCACAAAAAATGCGAACAAATTTTTTTAATTTTTTAATGCGGAAATCGTGTTGCGTTTGTACCTATCGATGATGGTGACTAATTGTACGAGTGAAAGATCGTTTTCGAAAATTAAATTGATCAAAATCTACTTCGTTCGAGCATGGGAGAATATCGACTGGTTCGTTCGATACTTTTGATGATACTGTTAAGAATTTTGCGAATGAAAAATGCCGTAAAAAGTCTTTTTCTTATAAAAATTCGAAAGTATGTCTGTTTTTACTGTGTACAGATGCAATTTTAAACAATTTACTTATGTTGTACTCTACTCTTGTACGCTGTATTAGATGACTAAGTTAAAATTGTGATAATAAATAAATAAAATGAATTGAAGACTTAATTATTTTGCATAATGTAAATCATTTCTGACCGCCAAAAGGCTCCCACACAATGATCGGCCCTGTGCCCCCACATTCTTAATCCGACCCTGGGTGTAATAATAGTGTACTACTAGTATATACCCTTGCAGGTAACTATGGTATATACTATAGTATAGTAATCTATAGTAACAAAATCTTTTCATATTGTTATACCCTTGCAGAGAAAAAGGATTTTATAAATTCAGTCAGAAGTTTGCAACGCAGTAAAGGAGACACCTCAGACCCCATAAAATACCTATGTATATATATTCTTGATCACCATCACTATCTGAATCGAAATACGTCTGTCCTTCTGTCTGTTTCTACGCAAACTAGTCTCTCAGTTTAAAAGCTATATTGCTGAAACTTTACCAAAAGTTGTGTAGTTATTGCACGCAGTATATAAGTCGGAACGGGCCGGATCGGGCGACAATATCGAGTAGCTCCCATACGAGAGATTGAAAAAAGTGCGTGCGTACAAAGTACACATGTCAGAAGAGAAACTTCTTTGGCGAACTAATTTATCAGTCTTGTCTATATTTATACATATCTAAAACTTTAGATTTCCGAGACTTAACGAAAGGGAATAAGGAAAATATGTTAGGAATTTAATTGTCATTAAAATATTACAAGTTAATTAAATTTTGTTTCTGAACTTAAAATTTAGAAAAGCGAATATATCAAATATTTTTATTTTATGGAAAATGATTTATTGAATTATTAAAAGACGAGTGGCAAGTTGAAATGCAGCATGTTATTTGTAAGTATTAAAACTACCAAACCTTCAAACCAATTAGCCTAAAATTTGTAAATAAACAAAAAGATAACAGATATATAACTTACTTCGAGTAACTGCTTAGAACAGGACGACTTTAAAATTTATCACAAAATATTATATAATTCATAAAGTTTATTTATAAATTTAACTCACTGTATATACACTGCGTAAGTGCTAATAATATTGTAAATAGATAAAAATCTGCGTTTACTGCAAATGACGTTATGTGATAGATTTGCAATCTAAAGTTCTAATAATTACCCTGCAGTTCTGGCTGTCACCTGGTTTCTCGTGGCATTCAAGCCATCAATGTGTAGGAAAGGAAAAGAAACATTCCTAAGTTTCCCTCTCTTTCTCACTCTTATAATACGATTCCGTTGCTTGCATCCGACGGCGGCCCGACTCCAAATTTGTCTTCTATTCTTTCGTTTTTCTAATTGCACTGTCGTCATTCTCCGTTAGAAACAAAAAATTGGTTTCCCATGGAAAATACGGCTGAGGGGCGCTCGACTTATGTATACTCTTTTGATGTTAAAGTTCTTCAAATATTAAATATAATGTATATGTCGGATCGAATGAAATGGGGCCTACTTTGTTCTCTTGGTCAGAACAGGTGAAGCGGGGCCTTCTTTAATGTGAAGCAGGGACAATTAAAAAAGGAAGTTAGAAATTGAGTGAAAGCATGGCAGAGCAGGACAGATTTAGACTGCTGCCAAGTGAGGTCTGTTTGTTAAGCGCTGACATACATGTTAGAAAGAGATGGCTAACAATGTATAAGAATTGAGTAGAAAGTATAAATTTGGAAAGTAGACTCTTGGGAAGTCAGTTCAGAAAGCGCCTGACAATCGAACGGAACTTGCTGCTGAGGATTTTAGTTAAAGTGATGGAAAAGACAAACGACCCTCCGACATCAGAAGTGGGATTCGCCTAGCCTACAGACAATACTCCTGGACAATATATGGCAGCGTTGGAAGCCCAGAACCGAACCCTGATGGAGCCAATAAAATCTATGCAGACACCAAGAACTTCGGCAGCGGACGATAAGGCTACGCATGTCACCTTACCAAAATTTAATCCCGATGGTGCCGGAGCAGACGCCTCAGCCTGGTGTACAACAGTCGACCTCATATATAGAAGAAGAAGAAGATGTACGAAAAGCGTGTGGACTCTTGCACTGTGGCCTCGCCAAAGGGAAAAATAAATGTATCCGGTGAGCTCATTCCATTTTGCTTTGACTCCGGAGCAGAGTGCTCATTAGTTAAGGAAAGTGTTGCAGAGAAATTTAAAGGAAAAGACTTAATAATATTGTAAAACTGAATGGCATAGGTAACGACTTCATCTGTAGCACAATGCAAATTCTTTCCAATATAAATGTTGAACAGTATTGCTACATAGAATAAATAAAAAGCCCCATGTTGTTGAATATTTTAGTAAATGCACATCACCTGCTGAATCAAAATACCACTCTTACGAACTTGAGACTTTGGCAGTTGGCAATGCCATTAAACATTTCCGTCATTATTTACAGGGGCGAAAATTTGTAGTGTTTACTGATTGCAACTCACTGAAAGCTAGTCGTACAAAATTAGACCTATTGCCGAAGGTGCATAGATGGTGGGCCTTTTTACAGTCGTTTGATTTTGACATCCAATATAAGAAGGCAGAACGAATGGCACACGTAGATTTTTTGTCAAGGAATCCCCTGGTTAAAGAGAATAGAAGTGTGAAAAAAATAGTGGAAAATAAGAGATAAGTACATAAATAATATGAAATTAGAAAGTTTTTGTTTACCATTTATGTGGAATATTTGCAGGACATCGGCTGTTTTGCGTCAATCTATGGTACAAAAAATATTTGTATTATTACATATTATTTATGTATTACTTTTTTTTAATTTAAAGCCAACTCACCTTTCAAAAGAATTTATCGTGCATACAGGCTGAATCCTAAAAAGATTTAAATAAGTTTGTAATAAATTACATAATATTTTTTTAATCTTAACGACACTTACATGATTTTTAAACAATTCCGCTGCCCGTTGCGCAAATTAAGTAATTTCACAACTAACTGTTCAACGCACAACGCAAAAGAATGGGCAGTTCAATTTTATTTTTCACCCTTTCAGTATACCTTCTTTTTGGGTATAACCGACCATAAATGACACGCGAGTTATTATCTATATTTGCAATCAATGTTATGTTATGGTTATCTTGGTTCAATAATTTAAATAATGTTGTATGTATAAAATATATTATATATGTATATAATCTTATATATTATATTATATTTAATATTTTAAGAACTTTAACATCAAATGAGTATACATAAGTCGAGCGCCCCTTAACCGTATTTTCCATCGAAAACCAATTTTTTGTTTCTAACGGAGAATGACAACAGTGCAATTAGAAAAACGAAAGAATAGAAGACAAATTTGGAGTCGTGCCGCCGTCGGGTGGAAGCAACGAAATCGTATTATAAGAGTGAGAAAAAGGGGGAAACTTAGGAATGTTCCTTTTCCTTTCCTGCACATTGATTGCTTGAATGCCACGAGACACCAGGTGACAGCCAGAACTGCAGGGTAGATACAACAGATGCAAAGCTGGTGCTGAGATGTTGGTTGCGACGAGTGTAGTATATTTCTTGTGCTGTTTTGTGATCCACTTTTTGTATAGTTTTTATTGGGATCAGTTCTTTTTGTTTTATAAATGTTGGACAATTGCGGTTTAGAGGGCTATGTTTTGAGCCTGCTTCGAAAATTTTTTTTTGCTGGTAATGCATTTTTTTTTTTTCCTGTTGCATTTATCGTTTTCTTCGGTGTGTACTTGCTCGGAGCAATTCTTGCAAAGCTCCGCAGAGCTTTTGCAAGTTGAAGTCGGGTGTCCAAATCGTAGGCATTTTTGCATCTTAATGGTTGTGGAATATATGGGCGTAAGCGAATCTTTTCGTACCCAACGTTTAGGAAGTCTGGGAGTGTAAGGGTTTGGAATGTGATTAAAATTAATCCAGTTTCTACCATTGATTGGTTTTGTTTTGTTAGGTTTTTACGTATTTCGGTGACTTTTTGAGTTTTAATTCGTTTAGTATTTTGTTTCATCTATGTTCCGTAATTCATTGCAGTATATGACGAGAAGTTTAAAGTTTTGTGTTCGGTGGCTTTTACTTCAATGTCTGTTATGTTTTGCAGTCTAAGTAACTCGTTGGACTGAAAGGCGTTCTTAGTTTTAACCAATAAGTTGCCAACTCGAGTATTTTTGCATGACTCAACTTCCTCTCCGCAAGCAAAATCATTGGTTTTTTTTAATTAGGAAGGGTGATACATTTTCAAAAGACTTATTGTCAGTTCTGTTTTTTTCTATGTATTTTGGTTCGCCTAGCTGTTTATGGTATATTTATGTATTGCCTATATTCGGCGATTTATCTTTTGTTGGTTTTTATTGGGCTGGCGCCCGACCGTTGAACTTGTGTTTTATGTGTTTGTTTTTGTTTTTTGCGAATTCTGTTTTATGCACTTTTTCATCTTTTTTTTAGAGGCTTGTGAGAGCTGTCTTATCTCAAAGAGGTTTGATAGATATATTATTATACATATATAAATTATTTTTATTATACATAGGGGAGACCGGGGGTTTTGAGACGGGTTTTGTTTTTTGACAAAAAATATAATAGAAAAGCCATTTCTCTGCCCGTACAAATTTTTAAATCATAGTTCAGTGTAATTTCACTCAGACAAGAGTATAATTAGTTGAAATTTTAGTTCGACCTTCAAGTTTTGCCTACCTGCTCAAAAGTTGTTTTTTATGGATTTTCGCAAGGTTCGGGGGGTTGTGAGACACAAATTTATAAGAATGAAAATGGCTTCATTTTATCAAAATTGTTTATTTTAATCTTTAATAAGGCATCTTTTGTGGTCTACAATTTATTCAAATTAAAAAGATTTCGACTTTTTCTCGATAGCAACCTCTTTTTTTAGCAGCCACAAAAACATTGACATCAATCGCTTTACGGACGCATTAAATGTTTATGCAAAATTTGTTCCGTGTGTCAAAAGGCTACTCACCAAGGAATGTTTCGGATGTATGCACTCTCGCCAATAGCTTGTAAAACAAAGCGAAAAGACAGCTAACACGAACGGTCTACAAAACTTTCGATCACAAAATTGGAGTTGCGATTTGGGAACACATAAGGAATCGGCATGAGCGGAATATTTGTGATGTGGATATGAAGATTGGAAACAAGCAAGAAGTTTCGAAGTCAGCTGGTAGATGTCGCGCTTTTTAGTTCAGGGCTGTAAGCGCGTCTCACGACCCCCGTGTCTCATGACCCCCCGGTCTCCCCTACTATATATGTATATATATTAATGTATTTTTCTGAATATAAAAAAAATGGTCTGGGTGATCCGTTCAAAACTTATCAGAAAAGCATGGTTCTCAAAATATAGAAATTTTCAACAACGCTTAAATTTGGAATTAAATTTTATAAAAATCGGACACTATATGATATAGCTGTCGTATGAACAATCGTCAATAATACAAAAAAATCATCAAACATAGTTGTTTAGCCTTTATGTCATTTGTTCCACGTTTTTGATGACTTCAAGGGTATATAACTTTTGTAGTACCTTTTTTTATCATCTACAATACTTATAGCAAAAAGATTGAGGGGAAGGAAGTGCAAAAATTGTCTGAAAGAGTCTCAAATATTCAATCACGCCTGGTTTTATCATTTTTGTAACATTAATTTTTGTATCTCTCCTTGATCAGATTTATGTACTGCGTTTAATAACAAAACAACTTTTGGTCAGGTCTCAGCGAGATAATTTTAAAACTGAGAGTCAAGATAGTGGTGATAACTAAGAATATATACTCGTACACTTTTCACTTTCACTTAAATGGTAATGCTGGTCAAAAATTTTTATGTATTTCCTCATAGGGTCTAAAGTGACTTCTTCTGTGTTTTTTATAAAAATAAATTTAAAAAAAAAAAAATTTTCCTAATTGAAATAAACAAAAAGTACAATAGTATCATGAACTTTCTTTGTTTTATAGAATACTCTCTATGAATTTATATTGGAAGCAATAGCGAGCCGTGGAGATAGTCGCGGTAAAAGTCTCATAACTGATTATACAGTCTTACGAAAGGTATGTGTTAAGAATTAAAAAGGTGTGCAAATATTAAATTCCATATTTATACAGATTTGGACTCATCCAAAAGTTCTAGAGGACGCTTGGAAAAATGCTAATAAGGTAAGCCGGTTTATAATACATAAAAAATGTCCATTTTAACTTATTTATTAATATATTTTTCCATTTTGCTCTTGTTTTAAAATTATTGTGTTTTGTTTTTTTTTTTGTGTGCTCTAAATGTTGTATCTGTGAGGTTGGGATGATCCCATGGTGAATCCACCATTTGTGTAGCTTTGTTGGTTCGTATGGTAAATTTAATGATTGGTAGAGATCTATTGTGCGGTCTTTGGTTGATGGGTGTTTTTGAAGTTTGATGAGTGTGGGTATTGTTGTATCTTTGGAAAGTATAAGGTTTTTTTGTAGAAAAGGCTGTTTGAAAGTCTCGTTTTTGTTCTAGTGGGAGGATATTGGCTTCATATAGCAAGTTATTTATGGGTGTGGTTCGGTAGGCACCAAGGCACCAAGGCTAGTAAAATTGCAGTGTTAAAAGGTGTTTTTAGTTTGTTTAGGACGCTTTTGGGAGTGTGCCCGTATAGGATTAAGCCATACTTTATTTTTGTTATGACTGTTGCTTTCTTAATGTGAAGTAGTGTTTGTGTATTGCAGTTGAATTTAGTGATAAAAAGTCATTTAATGATATTTTGTAACAATATGGTAACACAATGTTAAAATACCGAAACAATGTGACTCTGTATATTTAGTTTTGATACTGTTTGGTCTCATTGACGCTTTTTGTACAACTCTCCAGCGAATGGACGCTTAAAATCCACATCCATTTGGAACACAATCTTCATCAGGTTATGGGCCCAGATCACGCGAGTGCGGGCGGATAGAGATTTGTGTGTGGTTGACCGGCAGGCGTTGAAAGGCACAGGAGTGCAAGAATTTTCTAGAAAGCACGTGGAGAAAATGAGTTCGTTCTATCAAATAGAAAAGTTGGATACCGGGAATTATGATACTTGGTCCATCCAAATGCGAAGCGTGCTGGTGCATGCGGAGGTATGGAAGGTCGTGAACGAATTGAGACTAGATGAGGAGCCTCTTAACTGGGATGCACTTAACGAGAAGGCTTTGGTTATGGTCACTTTGAGCGTGAGGCCTACGCAGTTAGGCTACCTGAAGAACTGCACAACAGCAACGGATGCTTGGACACTGGTGAAGGATGTGCATGAGCCAAGCGGACCTGCTAGAAAGGTGTCGCTCTACAAAAAATTGCTTGGCTTGCAAATGACAGGTGAGGACAGTATGTGCGAGTACGTCAATACATTTTGTTCAACTGTAAACAAGCTTTCGAAGGTAGACATCGACATAGGGGACGAGCTCGCTGTGATAATCTTGCTCTCTAGTCTACCCAAAGATTATGAGAACTTTGTCATCGCCATGGAAACTCGAGACAAGCTGTCATGTCTGGAGCGGTTGAAGATCAAGTTGCTAGAAGAAGGAGAACGCAGGGCAAGCGAACCAGGACCTTCTCGAAACGAGCAACTGGCATTCCACGCCAAAGGGGAGCAGACTCCGGCTGATGCTTTGCAGAAAAAGAAGGCAAATGTACAGTGCTACAATTGCGGCCAGCGTGGTCATTACAAGAGGGAATGCAAAGTCAAGAGAAAGGAAAAAACGGAAAAGCAGAACATCACTAAGTCATTCACGGTTCTGGCGGCGGCTGAAGCAAATGACCTGGAGATTGTGTATGGATTCAGGCGCAACCACACATATGTGTTGCGTGAAGAGTATGTTTACAGACTACATTTCTCATGCCGAGGATGTAACTCTGGCAGACAACAGCGTCATAAAGGCAGTCGGCCAGGGTAGCGTCATACTCCACACAGGATTCTGCGAGCTAAAGCGGGAGAATGCTCTGCATGTGCCAGGGATGAAAGGAAACTTCATTTCAGTCACAAGGGCCATCGAACGAGGATGTACAGTGACGTTCGATCAAGGAAAGGCAACTGTAAGTCAGGATGGCGAAAACATTTTGGAGGCATTCAAGACGAATAAGCTCTTCATGATTGAGTCTGAACGGAATCTTTGCTTCGGAGCAAACCGATGCCAGTGTTTGGCATAATAGATATGGCCATTTGAACTACGCTAGCCTGATGAATCTCTCGAAACAAGGAATGGTTTCAGGATTGGAAAATGTAAATTTCTCAGAAACGCATTCATGTCTGACGTGCATGAAATGTAAGATCCACTCACAGCCATTTCCAACGCCTTCGGAAAACAGAGCCAAAGGTCATTTAGAACTTGTGCACACAGATGTTTGTGGGCCTTTCCAAAAACGTTTTCTCGGTGGCTTTGCATATTTCTTGTTATTTGTTGATGACATGTCCTGGCGAATGTTTACGTACTTCCTCAAGTCTAAAGATGAAGTTTTCAGCAAATTTGTGGAATTCAAAAATATGGCAGAGCGGCAAACTGGAAAGAGAATAAAGTCCCTGAGAAGCGATAATGGCGGCGAGTTTGTGAACAGGCGTTTTGATGAATACTTGAGAGAACATGGAATCCTACGTCAGCTGCCATATGGTGCCATATACGCCCCAACAAAATAGTGTGGCAGAACGTGCCACGTGCACGTACACGCGGATCTAGCTGAATTTTTGTGGGCAGAAGCTATCCAAACTGCTTGCTGCATATGGAACAGGTCGCCAACATCCGCTTTGATTGGCAAAACACCTTATGAAGCATGGTACGGGAAGAAACCCAGTGTTTCCGGAATGCGAACATTTGGATCTATAGCGGTCGCTTTAGATAAAACACGGCACAGTAAGTTCCAAGCAAAAGGAAGGGAATATAAACTGGTAGGATACTCGCTCGTCTCAAAGGCATACAGGCTGTATGATAAGGAGGCACGCGAAGTCATCGAAAAACGTGATGTTTTATTCGAAGAGAGTACGACTACAAATTTTCCTTTGAATACTGAGCCATCCCGTTCTTTCGAAACCAAAACAGACAAAATGCAGCCAGATCGTTTCGAAAAGGAAGACACTTTAAGCGAAGAATTCCAAAGCGCAGAGGAGGCTGAATCCGAGTCGGAGGACATGCCGACGGAGTTCCAGAATGACGATGAGAATCGTGAGGCAGACGGACATCAGATGGAAGGCGTGCGGATCGGTCCTGGTAGACCAAAGATGGTGCGAACTGGCAAGCCCGGCCGTTCGAGAAAGCAATACAACGTTCTGAACTTTATGGCTACACAAGAGTTCTTACTTCCTGGTGCATACAAAGAAGCCACAATTGGAAAGTAGACTTCTTACTGGGAAGAATCCATGGAAAAGGAATACACTTCGCTGGTAAAAAATGGTACTTGGATCCTGACCGATTTACCCAAGGGACAGCAAGCGATTGGCTGTAAGTGGGTGTACCTATACCATTAAGAGGGACAGCAGTGGAAACGAGCAGCGCTATAAATCTTGCCTTGTAGCCAAGGGTTGTTTGCAAAGATATGGAGTTAACTTTAAGGAAACGTATTCGCCAGTCTGTCGATACGAGACAATACGTTTGGTCCTGGCCTTGGCTGCGGAGCTGAAACTTTACTTGCACCAAATGGATGTGTGCACGGCCTACCTAAATAGCGAGTTAACCGATGTTGTCTATATGAAACAGCCTGAGGGATACATTGACGCGGTATCATCACAAAAGTCTTACGATTGAACAAGGCAATCTATGGCTTAAAGCAAGCAGGAAGGGGGTGGCATGGAAAGTTGAACGAAGCCCTATGCGATATAGGATTTACCCCTTGTCAGAACTAGCCATGTTTGTACAAGATGGATGTAGATGACCGACTTTGCATGATACTTATCTACGTTGATGATTTGAAGACATAATTGACATCAAGACAAAGATTGCCATGAAGTTCGAGTGCGTAGATAAGGGTCAACTGGAAATGTTCCTAGGAATGCAGATAAAGCGAGAAGGCGAGTTCGGAGCTATACAAGTAAACCAGCAGCTCTATTTTAAGGACATGCTTGAGAGAGACAATATGCTTAATTTTCGACCTGTGGCAACTCCTTTGGACCCTGGTTTTTAAATAGCTTGCTGAAAATCGGATTGCGTGCTGGAAGATCCAGCAGAGTATTAATCAGTCATTGGGGAACTGATGTGGCTGGCCCTAACATCAAGGCCCGATATATATCATTGGGGCGGAGATGTCGGAACACGTCGATCCTACACTGGGTTCGTATTCATGTTAGCAGGTGGACCAATATCTTGGAAATCTGAGAGGCAAGACTGTGTCGCTTTAAGTAACACAGAAACATTTTCAATAAGAGCTAATTGAGAGTCTACAAATCATCAAAAGTTGTTGGTAAGAGTAATTAATCCAGATGTCGCATCGCAACGTCTGCCAACAATATCATTAAGCCGCCAAAGATGTTATTATTTCGCCGAAGATCTTTCAGTGTGAAGTGATTTCTTATGTGCCATTTTGCTCTCACCCCACCACTATTATTGTCCACCGCTGGATTTAATGTTTTGGATACTTGTTTTTGATGTTCATTCAGAATCAGCAAATTATTTCGAACGAATTCCTGCAATGTATCAACATTGTATTGCAGCTCTCGACCAAATGCTTGGTTAAATGCATTCCTACTTCAATAAGTAGCTTGTTTGCAATTGTCAAACATTGGTGCTCATCAGAATCAATCCTTCATTGTAGATTTCTTCGGTTATTTGGATGTCAGGATTATTTGTTTGAATGCGCAAGCGATGCAAATTATCTTCACATATGTCGTCTTTGTATTTGTTCTAGAACTGAATTGATTGTGAAGGATGACATGAGGTGATGATAATTGCGAACATGATTTTGGTCCACTTATGTTTACCAACAGCAGTCGCAAATAAATACATTCATCAATTCTAGGATGAACAGTACACTCGTACAGTAACCAATGGTACATGCGACCTAGTGCATCAGTGGAAAACACCTGTGGTCAATCTGGAATTGGGGTTCCTTGTTTGCGACGTTGGAATTTCTTTGTTGATTGATTCCAAGTGTATCTGTTGAGCATTTAAACGTAAGTCAGCGTCGCTGCGAATGGATCTGCTTTACAAATGACAAAGAG